AAGAACGTCTGGAGCGCCAGTCGATAAACGTCTCCTCTGAGGAACCTGGGCTTGTGGGCGACGTAAGCGACGTTTGATCATGCATTAATCTTCTTCTCTTCGCTTTCTACATCGTCGCTTTACAGAAGCTTGTCCGTAGATAACCTTTTGTAGGAACCTATCTGTTATTACACCTTTTGTAGGAACCTATCTGTTATTACATAAGAGCCAGATTCAAATCAACCTCGACAATAACTGCCTGTCCTTAATTGAATATCTTAAGCAAGAATCCAAGCAGTGTCCCGAAAACCCGAACACATTCATATCTCTCTCTCACGTTTAAGCATCTTCCCTTGCTACGAGGGACCTAATACTCATTATGACAATAACTACTGCATTGTGCATAAATAATTATCGACTGATAACTACGACTACTAAAGGCTATAAACCACCCGGCAGAAAAACTCATCTACTTAAGGAGCAAGTGTACTTTCCGCCGACTAGGTGATTAACTCTATCCTTGCCTATTCGTAGTGAGGCTATATTGCCCCTTTAACTCTATTGCATATTGCCCCTTTAACTCTATTGCATATCCTCCCCTCTGCATTAGCTCCCATCAAGGCTGGTATTTATCATCATTCTCACTTTTAGCCTAACCCTTCTTCTTCTAGGAACGGAGGCTTCTCTTCTTAGTAGTACCTAGGGTCGGCTTCTCCTTCTCCTTGCGCTATCTCTTAGGGCCGGGGTCTAGGAGGGTCTTCTCCTTCTCTGCGCGCTTTCTCTTCTTGGGGATGGGAGCCTGCTGGGTGGGCTCATCTCCGACAACGTCCATCATGTCGACTTCAGCGTCCGCGATGTNCGGCTCCGGGACGAGCTCTTCGTCATCCTCCTAGGGGCCGATAGGTGGGGTAGAGCCAACGCCGTATTCTGACGTGTCTATAACAGACTGTTCGCCTACCGTTATACCAGGGGTTTAAGGAGAGGATTAAAGGAAAAGTTGTCGGTAGACAACTTTTTTAGCTTCGACGCCTGCTTGGCCGGGTGTAGGGGTGGATAGCGTAGAGACGGGCAAGGAGTCGGCCGCCTTTCTGGCGCTTAGGTTGACCTGGAATAGTACCTTCTTCTTAACGCTCGCGGTCGTAGCGATCGGAGTGCCGATGGTGCCGGCCTTAAGTGCGGCGAGCATAGAGTCCCTATAAAGAAGGAGCAGTCTAAGGTCGGAGGCGGATAAGCCGGATGTCTCTGCGACGACCCTTATAGCCTCTGCCTTACTGGCCGACTTGCGGGCATTCGCGGCGGCGAGATCCTTGGTCTAGTTGGCTACATATTGCTCCTTCTAAGCCTTCTAGTTCTCGAATTGGCCGCCGGGTAGGAAATCTACTAGGTCGACGTTAAAGTTGTCCCAACTTAGGTGGTCGGCACGCGAGCCGATAAGCATTCTGTATATACGGGCAGCCTTTTCGTGTATGACCTGGGATTTGTAGGATAGGTACTTAAGCTGCCAGTCCTTCTCCGGAATTTCCTCGTTACGCATCAGCTGTTTAACCTTATGCTGCTCGGCGATAAGGCGAGCGGCTCCGGCAATGATCGGGAGTTGCTTTGCCTCGGTCCTAGCTACGATAACCTAGTCGAAGGTGTTATGTGTAAGGAGGATGAGGATAAGTGCTTCCTCTTCCTAGCCGATGCGTAGGATTCTTGACATTGCCTAGAGCAGAGCGGCGGCAGAGGTCAGGAAGTCGATAATAATCATACGAGACGCCACCTGGAAGTTGAAGGCTTAACCGGCGACGGGGATACTGCTAACTAGGATACGAATAGGATTCTTCTTATCGGCGAACTTAGTCGTAGCATCCTTACGCTGCTTCGCGGTCTAGTGTATAAGTGACTTAATAGAGACGAAAGGAATGCCTATCGTGTAGAGGAGCACCTCGATATCGAATGTGTTTTAAGGCTATATAGTAAAGAGGACCACCTTTCTGTCCTTACGAAGTACCTACTCCTACAGGCATCCGGCGACGAACTTCTTCTTAGATGACTGTAAGCATTGATACGCTACGTCGAGTGCGCGGAAAGCGCTGTAGGATGGCAGCTATGGTTCGGGGCGAGTTACACGGTGGTAATACTCGCTTACACGATCCGGCAGCTTCTTCGTACCTTTGCCACTACCGAGGGTTTAGGCGAAGATCTTTGACGCGGTATAACCCTTCGTGTAGAAAGTGTCGAGGAGGGAGTTCTGTGAGGCCATAGTTAGACGTCGGACTAAGGCCGTATTGCCGAAACCGTTAGTGGCGGCGTCTTTATCCGCTCCCTCTGTAGTAGCGGCGGCCGCCTTAGTGGCCTCTTCGAGATGAATCTCGCGGTACTTAATGCGCTATAAGTATTAAAGTTTCAACTCTATAACCTTCACCCGGGCAGGGGGGATTTCGGCGTATGAGATCTGGTAGGGTCCAACTTAGGTGAACGAACCCTAAGCGCGGGCGATCAGGCATAGGTAGAATATAGGTAGGATAATCGCGGCACCGACGCCGGCGTTGTTATAAGCACCCGAGCTCTCTGCCTGCCTAGCGAGATAGGCGAATCTCTCGGGGTTCAGGACTTTAAAGAACTTAGAAAAGTTGTCCGAGGACAACTTTTGCTCGACAGTTATGCCCTTAAAGGCATCTGTTATGTCACTTATCGACTGGACGTAATCATACGGATCGTCGTCGCTAGCGAGGTCGTCGTAATGGTCGAGGTCTATATCGGGTCTGACGATGACACTTAGAAGGCCCAAGAACTNAAGCAGTGTCCCGAAAACCCGAACACATTTACATCTCTCTCTCACGTTTAAGCATCTTCCCTTACTACGAGGGACCTAATACTCATCATAACAACAACTACTGCATTGTGCATAAATAATTATCGACTGATAACTACGACTACTGAAGGCTATAAACCACCCGGCAGAAAAACTCATCTACTTAAGGAGCAAGTGTACTTTCCGCCGACCAGGTGATTAACTCCATCCTTGCCTATTCGTAGTGAGGCCATATTGCCCCTTCAACTCTATTGCATATTGCCCCTTTAACTCTATTGCATATCCTCCCCTCTACATTAGCTCCTATTAAGGCTGGTATTTATCATTATTCTCACTTTCAGCCTGACCCTTCTTCTTCTGGGAACGGAGGCTTCTCTTCTTAGTGGTACCTAGGGTCGGCTTCTCCTTCTCCTTGCGCTGTCTCTTGGGGCCGGGGTCTGGGAGGGTCTTCTCCTTCTCTGCGCGCTTTCTCTTCTTAGGGATAGGAGCCTGCTAGGTGGGCTTATCTCCGACAACGTCCATTATGTCGACTTTAGCGTCCGCGATGTGCAGCTCTGGGACGAGCTCTTCGTCATCCTCCTAGGGGCCGATGGGTGGGGTGGAGCTAACGCCGTATTCTGACGTGTCTATGACAGACTGTTCGCCTACCGTCATACCAGGGGTTTGAGGAGAGGATTAAAGGAAAAGTTGTCGGTAGACAACTTTTTCGGCTTCGACGCCTGCTTAGCCGGGTGTAGGGGTGGATGGCGTGGAGACGGGCGAGGAGTCGGCCGCCTTTCTGGCGCTNAGGTTGACCCGGAATGGTACCTTCTTCTTGACGCTCGCGGTCGTGGCGATCGGAGTGCCGATGGTGCCGGCCTTGAGTGCGGCGAGCATAGAGTCCCTGTGAAGAAGGAGCAGTCTGAGGTCGGAGGCGGATAAGCCGGATGTCTCTGCGACGACCCTCATGGCCTCTGCCTTACTGGCCGACTTGCGGGCATTCGCGGCGGCGAGATCCTTNGTCCAGTTGGCCACACATTGCTCCTTCTGAGCCTTCTGGTTCTCGAATTGGCCGCCGGGTAGGAAATCTACCAGGTCGACGTTGAAGTTGTCCCAACTCAGGTGGTCGGCACGCGAGCCGATAAGCATTCTATATATACGGGCAGCCTTTTCGTGTATAACCTGGGATTTGTAGGATAGGTACTTGAGCTGCCAGTCCTTCTCCGGAATTTCCTCGTTACGCATTAGCTGTTTAACCTTATGCTGCTCGGCGACAAGGCGAGCGGCTCCGGTAATGATCGGGAGTTGCTTTGCCTCGGTCCTGGCTGCGATGACCTGGTCGAAGGTGTTGTGTGCAAGGAGGATGAGGATAAGTGCTTCCTCTTCCTGGCCGATGCGCAGGATTCTTGACATTGCCTGGAGTAGAGCGGCGGCAGAGGTCGGGAAGTCGATAATGATTATGCGAGACGCTACCTGGAAGTTGAAGGCTTGACCGGCGACGGGGATACTGCTGACNAGGACACGAATAGGATTCTTCTTGTCGGCGAACTTGGTCGCAGCATCCTNACGCTGCTTCGCGGTCTGGTGTGTAAGTGACTTGATGGAGACGAAAGGAATGCCCATCGTGTAGAGGAGCACCTCGATGTCGAATGTGTTTTGAGGCCACATNGTAAAGAGGACCACCTTTCTATCCTCACGAAGTACCCACTCCTACAGGCATCCGGCGACGAACTTCTTCTTAGATGACTGTGAGCATTGATACGCTACGTCGAGTGCGCGGAAAGCGCTGTAGGATGGCAGCCATGGTTCGGGGCGAGTTACACGGTGGTAATACTCGCTTACACGATCCGGCAGCTTCTTCGTGCCTTTGCCACTGCCGAGGGTTTAGGCGAAGATCTTTAACGCGGCATAACCCTTCGTGTGGAAAGTGTCGAGGAGGGAGTTCTGTGAGGCTATGGTTAGACGTCGGACTAAGGCCGTGTTACCGAAACCGTTAGTGGCGGCGTCTTTATCCGCTCCCTCTGCAGCAGCGGCGGCCGCCTTAGTAGCCTCTTCGAGATAAATCTCGCGGTACTTGATGCGCTGTGAGTATTGAAGTTTTAACTCCATAACCTTCACCCGGGTAGGGGGGATTTCGGCGCATAAGATCTGGTGGGGTCCAACTTAGGTGAACGAACCCTAAGCGCGGGCGATCAGGCATAGGTAGAATACAGGTAGGATGATCCCGGCACCGACGCCGGCGTTGTTATAAGCACCCGAGCTCTCTACCTACCTGGCGAGATAGGCGAATCTCTCGGGGTTCAGGACTTTAAAGAACTTAGAAAAGTTGTCCGAGGACAACTTTTGCTCGACAGTCATGCCCTTAAAGGCATCTGTTATGTCACTTATCGACTGGACGTAATTATGCGGATCGTCGTCGCTAGCGAGGTCGTCGTGATGGTCGAGGTCTATGTCGGGTCTGACGATAACACTTAGGA